GAAGATTACAGGGTGTTCCCCTTCCAAATGAGATATTTTTAAGAATAGGAACCTTTGAATGGCCAGAAATGTGTTTGACTTGGCATGGGCCTATTCTTATATTTGTTTTAGTCTAACTGCCCTGTTTGATTAGAGGGGGGGGGGGTTGACCTGTCCGGTGGGGGCCCTACATTAACTATGGGTCGGAGCCAACAATGGTTTCACAATACCGTACTGTACACACGTAGTCTAGCTTCCGATAGAAGCTGCAAAAGGATTATCCTGTCAAGTATCAAGTTTATTTTTATCAAACCACAACAACCACAACACAATTCTATGCTGTGTCTGTAGAACCTTATCCAAACCACAGTATAAAATTGTAGTTTTTAGAGTTATTAAACAACATTCCATAAATGTTTTCCTCTTATACAGTTTACTAGTCTTTTCAAAGGTAGGGGGTATTGTCTTTCATTAGTTATGGCTTTAATATTTGTCAAAATAGAAAATTATTAAATAGGACACGACATCATATCCAGTTTTACTTGGGTACGGACGTTCACAACAAACAGATATCTGGAAAGTCGATTTTGCCTGTTTACAAAAAACAGCGTAACATACATGTCACATACATACATACACACTAAAGGTTCCTTTGCTTGAAAGCATAGGAACCAAAAACCCACTTTTTTGGTTTGTTGTTATTTGAAGTTAACAATTTTATATTTGATGTTTTTAAAAATGAGCAACTCCATGTGGCACAACTCCTTGAGATATTTTAAGGTAGTAAAAGAACAAAATAAACAAATTAAATACAAATACAGAATTGCTCAATTAAAAAGATCAAATTTAATTATCAACTCATCTAACGAGGCACACGAATAAACAAGACATCAATACAAAAATTAAAGGTACAATTCAGACGGTTAGATAGAACTGGTATTTTATAAGGTTACACCTTCTTTGTTTCAAGGGAAACAATAGATCACCGACCGATTACTTTACCATCTCATCTCTATTTAAGACCAACAGAAGTCATTTTTTATCAATCGCCTGATGATGGTCAGAGCAATCTTACCGAAATGATAATCAAATAGTGGTTTTACCTCAAAAAAAAAAAAAAAAAAAAAAAAAAAACTTTTTACAGTACTGTATTACACATGGTGTACCGGATTTTATGATTTTGATCTGTTAATAAGTAGCAACTTATTTACTTTTTTTTTCTGATTTTCAATTTAAAGGTAATACACCATTAAAGTTAAATATATATAAATGATGCAATTCTCCATTATTAAAGGTTTTATATTCAAATCAGACGGTAAATATTTAATATCATTACAAAACCTTTAACAATGGACAATGCTATTGGAGACAATAACAATTTATTCAGTACAATCAATGTTTGTAAAGTCGTTTTGGAGATTTCAAAGGGAGAAAAGGGCGCCCTCAACCTACCAACATGCTTTAAAGATGGAAGAACTCCACATGGGAGTTATAAATCCCATTATCTTCAAACAAATTTTTTCTGTATTTCTTGTATTTTTAGCATGTCTCCATAAGTTCGGTCCCCATTAGCATCAGAGCACCAGTATGTATGTATGTATGTGCGTATGCATGTGTGTATGCATGTGTGTATGCATGCATGTATGTATTGGTATTGGTATTGGTTTTATATTTATATAGCGTCTTCCACGATCGAAATCGTCTCAAGGCGCTTGAAAAATATATGTGAATAATGTATGAAAATAAATTTGACCGGAAATAACCTAAACTAACCAAACAAAATAACCGACAAAACAGATAAAAATGGAATCACACATCATCACACCGTTTCACTGACCGACCAAGGCTGGTCAGCTATTGATTTCACAGGTGTCATAATGATGTGTGATGTATGTATATACATACATATACATATATAATGTTCCACAATCGAGTAAGCGCATACCTCGTGTCAACAGTATTTGCATTCACACCTGGGCTGTATGTATATATTGCCTTGGTTTGGCTTTGAGTTCATTAGTGGTGTTGCTAGTGGTGTTTTAAGTGGGGCTAGCCTAAGTTCTGCAAAGCTGGTCTTAACGTTTCGTCTGGGTCTGTACCCTAGCTGCACTGATATGAGGCCTAAAAGGGCGAAACAGATCAGTCTGCAGATATTGGGATTTTTCCAGTGGATATTTAGTTTATTTTGTCATTCTGATTGGATTTTCTCTACTGTTCCATTTAAATTATAAATTATTTGCAGTATTTTGCAGTATACATATACATATATACATATACATATATATATATATATATACATATATATGTATATACATATACAGTATATATATATACATATACAGTATATATATATTTCAATTTCAATTCAATTAACATTTATTCAATTAATTAATAAATACATCAAGTGAATATATATGTTTTGTGGGACCTTAGCAACAATATCTAAAAGGCCGGAGCTTGGCGGAAAGGTGGGTCCAGGCCTATTAGATTACAATCATAACTATAACTGTATTCATTTCATTTTCTAATTACCCGCACTATTGTTACTAATTAGTGAATTATAGTAATAAATACATTTTAATTTTAACTAATACTACGATAATATTAATTACAGTAATAATAGTATTTATGAGTGTCAGAATATTCCAACCACTACATTAAGTGAACCTCAACACAGGCTCTAGTTGTTTTAGAGCCAATTACAGTAAATATATGATGATATACTGGATGTTTAATTAATATTAATAGCATCATTATTTTTGTAATAATATTTGAATTTATTAAATAAATAACACAGAGTAATAATATTAATATTAAGATTGTTATTTTCAATATACCTGTATCGATATTTTATGTTACTACAGTCCAGCAAAAACTCTTGATGAGACATTGTGTGTCTGACTTTGAAAATCAGATGATTTTTTCCATTTTATTCTTTCTATCCATTGAGTTTAAAATACTGTATTTGAGTGCCAGGGTTAAAGTATAGCCCAGTAACTAACATTAATTTACAAGCTCATTTGCATAGGAGACAGATATTCTGATTTTCTAAGTTTCACACACTAATTCAATGTGATAAAACTATATTTTCACAAAAGATACCCTTTCTAGATTCAAAATGTACAAACAAATGTATTACTAAATATAATTAACATTTTAAATGGTGTTAAACAAAAATACTACATAAAAATAACATCCTAAAAATATACCATCTGTGGTACAATCTAGAAAAATATTAAAACATTTAATTGTTCAAAGAACAAGTAAAAGTAAATCAAATAAACTTTTTTTTCTGATTTACAGATGTTTCCCTATAGAAAAATGTTAGATTACCAACCAGGGTTAACTGGCAACATACTTCAATATACGAAGTCAATTGAAAATTAGAGTAGTTTCTTAGCGAAGCACAGATGGCATATAATCAAGTTATAGTCAATCAGTTACAGTAGTAGCATATTGCTGGAGACTTCAATTCATTACAAGATTATGTACTCTGTTTTGAACATTGAGGGCAGTGTTTAACTGCAAGATTTCCACTGGTTACTCTAATATGAAAAATATATAAACTACAAAAACAAACAGTTACAAAATGTGGGTTTCTTTTTTAAAAGCAGTAAAAAGGCTCTTCATTCAAACTTTAATAAAAAGATTTTTCAAGATTGTGTGAGTAATTTTAGGTAGGCCTATCTAGAACAGGATGAATAGGTAGGTCATAAGTCACATCTGTACATACATTGCACCATGCACACAGTATCTACTGGCTTGTCTTGTAAAAGATTACATCATCAAAACATTTTGTTGCTGAAATTTACTTTTGTTGCCAGACTTGAAAAAATAAATTAAAAATGATTGATTTAAAGATTGATTAAGCTGCCTATCTATTAGAGAGTATGCTGCTACAAATTTTAATGTGTGTATGTGTGGCCTGAGGTGGGAGGAGAATAAAGCAATTCATGTTCAAAATTTATGTCAACTGTAAAAATAAACAAACAATGAAATGTTGTTTAATCAAGCATAAATAATGAATAAATAGCTACATAGTCTAATTATTTTTTTACCGGATTTATACAAAAAATATGGTATACCAAAGTGATCTAGTGTAATGAAGTCAACAAAGCTGCTAGGGGTAATCTTAATATTAAAAGATAAAGGCACCATTTCATTTTCATAAAAAAATTATTTTAAACATACAATAATTACCAACTTCATAGTGACTATTTGAATATTTTCTGTAAACTGCAATTTTTCATGACCTTCGATAAATATGAGAAAAGTGTTGTAGGCTAGATTACCGGTATAGGATTTAAACGCCTTCATACTAAGGACTTCCTGGGTATGAAACTAAATTTCAAAAACAATCCCAACAAAACATCTGTTTTCACCATTGTGGAAACAGAAGTCTTAATGTGATTGTATGTTAACCACCATGGAAAAAGGGAGTAAAGATCTGTCATCCTATATTTCTGAATTTTCCTTTTCGGTTTCTCTGATCTGTCACCTCTATCAAAATTTTATGTGACAAATACTGTACTCCTAATTACAAATAATAATAATTATTTGAGATTTGTATAACTTTCTCATAATGAATTGTGCGGGTCAATTTTAACGTCAGAAATGTGTTCATTCTGAACCATAGGAGGACGATGTATAAGTTTGTCTGTATGGAAAGATTGAAGTTCATATTTACCTACTTCTTGATGTGGTTCATCTTCAAGAACTGAAGTACATACGATCTCATAAACACCCCGTTTATTTGGGTCCATCATCGATGCTGTAGTCTCTCTTCTATGATATTTCTTCAGTAAGTTTGCATGAAAAGTTTTGGTCCTATGGCCAAAATCTATTTTGTAATTCATTGAACTTACCTTTTCTTTAATAGGAAACGGTCCTTTCCAGTGCATCAATAACTTATTGTTATCCGTGGGTAACAATAAGTCAATGACTAACAACTTGTTATTCACTAAGTGGATTAGCATATTATTTAAATATTAGGGCAACACGCATATAGTAGGGAAAAATATAAGTTCTAATGTGACAGTCCCAGAAAATAGAATAGTTTGAACAAAGTATAATATAAGTATTGGCCAATATTTAGGAAGAAGTATCAGGAAATGCAAAACCCTATATTTTGAATAAGTTTTCCACTACAAGTGTTTGCTGCATCTACTGGGTTTGCTAGTATTTACAATACAAATGCCTTTGCTGTCTGAATAAGCTCAGACTGGCAAGCCTAGTCAGTTGAGCAACTATAGTAGGAGTAGAGTGCATTTGTGTATTCAATGTTAGAATTACATGACCAGTAACATCTGTACCACATACATGTACATCTAATTTAATTCTTTAATTTAAAAAATACCTTTAATCTTCGTCCCTTTGAAAATTTACTTAGGTTAATGTACTATGCAACTGCCTGTTTTTGCTCAACTCCCTAAACTTGTTTGCTGATCTGGAACCTTTCGACTGACATTTTTTAGCATCTTTAGAATAGTGTTTGTTTCGTTGACGAGAACGTTGGCACTGTCGTACACATTATCAATTTGGCTATCGCGGAAGTAACCTTTCAAGGTATAGCTAAACTTCTTGGAGGACTTGATAAACTCCTTCTTATAGAGCTCAAGAACCTATACGAACAAAAAGGTCACCATAAACATAGACAATGACTTCTCTTAAACAATGCATTGTTACTATCTATATCACAATAATACTTTTATCAATATACAGTACCACAGTAGTGTCGTCACAACACCAGGTGGCGCTCTCTGTTGTCAACAGACGTTGGTTACCGTTCATTACGCCTAAATGACTTCATAGGCTTTCTGGAACAGGCATTTTAAAATCTAATATTTTACCATCAAAATGCACTAAAAACACAAAAGCTCGCATTATATTAGTTATCGAACACACAAAGAAAAAGTAAGATACAACATCTTAATAATTAGGTTAGAAATTGGGATCAGTGGTTTGTCAGTGAAGAAAATGGCGCCTGGTTAAAGGCTTTTGCAACGATAACACTGGAGTAGTATCACATGGTATCGTGACGTAACACTGTAGTACTCTATAGGTATTTTCATTAAGTTTAAATATTTAGTAAGTACTATAATTACAATCATTGCTATTTTCACATTCTCTGTCAATATTATCATTTACTAATTTAATCATTGTAACATAATTAAGGGCACAACTTACACGTATATGCTCATTAAGACGAAATGCTTCATGCTGTTTGAAAATGACATTCACTGCTTGGAGAAGCTCCTTGATACCACTGGCAATATCCCTGGAGGTGAGGAATAAGTAAACAAGATTAATTTCAGTCAAAAAACAAAAAAAAACAAAAAAAAAACAGGTACATCAAATTTAGTTTTGTTCTCTAAAAAATATATTCCAAACCACCAACAATTCCAAACCTTTTAGGTATATAATAATACTTTAACCAGGGATACAACCAAAAAAGACAATTTTTTGTTTGTCTTATGTCTCGTCCTGTACTTCATAGATTGTTTTTAAATTTATTAAATTATCTTTATTTCTAGGTGCCAAAACAATGTACAAGCTTTGCTCTTTTTTGGTCATCATTTCCATTTTGTTTATAATCATACTTAAATCATTCTATGGACTGATTACCCTCTCCTCATCCCCACCTATCAGAGGTTGCTTGCAAACACTGTACTGTACATCTTCAACTGAATTTTTAAAAACATGTTTTATATATTTTGTTATGTTATGTGTCCTTGTGTCCTTTTATAGAAATAATTATTTTGAAAAAAAAAAGAAACAACCTATAACTTACTTAATTCTTTGTAGAAAGGCTGGTCTGTTTTCAATTTCATCAGGAAGTTTAGACAAGATGTGTTTCAAATTGTGTGCCTGCTCATTGAGTTTAATGAACTCTGGTTCTGGACGCATAATCATGTACTCTGCAAAAGATATTATTGTACAATGTGTTTAAACACTAATTCATCTTTTATTGTCTACTTATGAACTTCTTGATAAGCCCTCAGCTCTACTACCAAATCCAAAGACACTTTCTCAGAAAGGCACTGATAGAGCCCAGCCTTGAAGTCCAGCCAATTACTTGCTTGTTTTTGCTGGTTAATTCTTAATACAGTCATGATATTTTAAGTTTATATAAAAGTTGTACTGTACGTTTTTTTGAGATGTGAAATAATCACATGATTCACACAGGAATTATAAGCAACTCCTCAATTACCTTCACTATCATAAGCTGCCAGCCGTAGAAGGCATTCAGTTAAGTTCACATTAGCTGACTTTGCCTTCAGTATGCCATTCACAAGATCCTGCGTAAAGCCTGGATGTTTCTTTTCCACTTTGTTTAATGCTGCCCTCAATGTTTGGGCAGCAGCAAGGTCAGTTTTTTGTAACTACAATGAAAAATTGTAATTTAGTTACTGATGATGAAATAATAAACAATTATGATGATGATTATTATGAAGATGATGATATAATCATAATTGGAAGCAATCAATTATTCAAACACTTAACCAAATACTAAAGGTGTATAGATGTAGAGTAGCAGAGATGCTATATGCCATCAATTCAAAAAAAAAATAAATAAATAAAATGATAATTTAAATATAATAATAATAATATTTTATTTGATGTCTTTTGCCCAGGGCATTTTCCCCTTAGTTTGGACCTCAAGTCTGTGGAACCTGTCCTTTGGCATCTGTTTTTTTTTGTTACAATACATTGGATAAAGAAAAATTTTACTACTTTTCTTGGTGAAGTTTGTTAATATATTTAATAAGTTGTTGAAGATTGTCTACTGTGGTGAAGCATTATTCTGTTTACAACTTGGTTTTGATATTTGGCTTATTATAAACTTTTCATGGTTTATTGGATTTTGAAAAATAGGTAAACTTTGCTCACCTCATCTAAAACTGGAAATACAACAACGTGTAAAGGAAGAGAGACCACTGATGACCCATCCTCTTCCTCCATTGTCATTCTGTAGGAATTAAATCTCCACAGTTTTCTGGTTTATATACATGTATTCTTGCGTATAAACTCTTCACACAGGCCTAACCCAAAAATCCTGAAAACTGAAATTAAAGACAGAATACGACAGTGTTCTCTTAAAGCTAGGAAAAAGTCATTTTACTGTGACAGGACCCTAGGATTGGATGGCAAGTATCTTCATCATCATCATCTTATAACGTGCATAAACCTTGTTATGAGTACATTCACACATCGTATTACAACTAAGCTAATCAACTCCAGTCCCACGGTCTTGGTTCAATTTTGTCATGGTAACAGGATGTTTTTCTTATGACCAAAAATGGCAATAATGTACTTTAGTACTTAACCACTCTACCAAACCTTACCTTAAAGATAGCGAGACTTGAGTAATGGTTAAGGCGCAGTACTGAAAAAAAGTACACATCACCTCACTATGAGGCTTAGTTCATGTAAAGCATTTTGTGTGTATGTTTTTCTTGTGGAAGGATTGTAACTTTGATCAGTGATTAAGTTCACTGTTTGGCATATTATCCTTGGCCTTGTGCATAAAACTGAAAAAAAATTAAATATAGTTGTCTCCTGCTGTCCCACCAAACCCCTAAATTGTCCCACTTTTGATAAATTTTTGAATATGAATATAATTGGTGATTTAAAAAGAAAACAAAACACACATCTGTCTATTGCCGGTTTTGCCTTAAGCAATGAAGATGTATCAAAATTAGTGGGGAAAAAACAACAGAATAAAACCATTTGTTTTCTCTGAAAAAATGTGATGTGAGATTTGCTCCTAAAATTTTAGTATTCATGAGAAAATTGTGCACAGCAAAAAGTATCCAAAATTTCTTTGCATGTTTAATTTTTCTGCAGAAACTGCTGTTGCATCAGGTGAGATTCGGAGGTAACAATCAGCATTGCTTCTTTAGTGATTGGTAAAATTAGAATGTATAATGACTGACTATCAGTGGCGTATCTAGAAGTCTTGAAGGTGAAGTGGGGGACTCGATGATCAGTTGAGGGGCGCTAATTTGCAAAATATGGTGATTTTAGTTGATTTAACTACTTGACTTTGATTTTTTTGGGGGCTCGGGGGCTTGATTATTTTTTTTTTGGGAAGAGATATGCCACTGCTGACTATATACATGTAGGCTCAGTTTTGGTTTATTGTGGTCAAGCGGTACATATTATTGTACATGTAACAATGCCATGGTAATATTATGGCATTGAACTTTTTTGTTGTTGGGACCTCCCCTCCCCACCCCAGCCTACTTTCTAAATAGGCCTAGCCTAAATAGATGTATCATGCTATTTTAATGTAATGTCCTGCTTTCTAGATCGATAAAGTCCTGTTTTTTTTAATGTTTTGGCCTGGGGTTGAAATGTCCAATTTATCATACATAACAGTAACTAACACTACTGTAAAATGACTATTCAGGGCCTATAGCCCAGCCAAACAATAGGAAGACCAGTAGGCAGGGAGTTGTTATGGCCTAGCTACAGTAGCTGGGTAACACCAACAACACAGCACAGCCACACAGCATACCTGGCCTACATAGAGTCTAGCTAGGGCCTAGTTTAGCCTACTACACAAGCCAACTCAGTGTTCTCCCGAAGCGGTTTTAGCCGTAAATTTTACCGGTAAAAATAACCGGCCAACCAGTAAACATTTTGATTTTGTAATTTAATGAAAAGACTACTGATAGGCCAAGCGGCTGGCCCTCTTTAACAATAATAATATCAATAAACTAGAAATTGCAAATTGCAAGTGAAGTGCTGCGAAGTACAACTGCATATAAATGTTCTTCGAACAAAATTATTTATGCGAGTCAAGTGAAAATAATGAATAATAAAACTATAACAAATAATA